TCGCGCAGAGCTGTTTTGTGTGGTGTTTGGTTTTTTTTAATTAATAATAAATGAAGTAAAATGGTATTTAAACCTAAGTTTTGGTCCTTGGTGGTTGCTTAGAGGTCTAGGAGCTGCATTTACCTGCAGTATGCCCCTGTGCTCCTGGTGTGTGAGAAGTGGCATCCTTCTGGAAGGGTGATGGAGCTTCATTGCCCAGAACCATCTCCTGGGCAGAGAGAGGTTTGAGTTGTGTTTTTCAGTATTGCAGCACAAATGATTGATGTATGCCACTTTTTCTGCCTTCCCTTCATCTCAGGGGACAAGCTGGGTGAAGTGGAGGGATTTTTCTGTTTGTAAGTGCATGCTGCCTCTGTGAGCAGGCAGGGCAGAGAGGAGCACATTGCCTTTGCACTGGAAGCTGGCCTTCTGGAGGCCCTTTGCTTCTTTTGTACATCTACTGTGATGTCTGGGACCTCCTTTTAAGAGCAGCGTATCTCCTGCACAGCTGAATTTTACTTCTGTATCAGCCTAGGTTTATTTTTTTTCTCTCCCCCACCCACCATTGCTGCCTTCCCTTTTTATGTTTTTAGGAAAAAAAAAAAAAAAAAAGTGAAGACTAAATATACCTAAAAGTTGCATGTTCGGGGGGGTTTGGTCTCTGTATGACAGAGCAGTTAGCTAAAGGAGCTCACGTTGTGCAGTAAGCTGGGTCACTTCATGTTTTGTTATTTTTTTAATGAGACATCCGAGTAGAGGGAGCCTCGACTGAAAATTACTGTTCTGATCTGTGAGCAGTCCGAATAGCTTGGGAATTAAAATATTGACTGAAGTTGAGTAAATTGATTTTTATATATGTTTTTCTTGTATGAAGAGCTTTGTGTAACTGCTGGGGCGTGACTTTAAATTCTGGGCAGGACTTTGTGGCTTGGTAGCATCAAGTTCAGCTTCTGATGTTGCAATGAAGAAGGAAGTGAGCATGTGTGTGCATGGGGAGGGGGAGAACAAAGCACTTCTGCCTGGCCACATAAGGTGGGAATTGCAGCTGGCTGGTTATTTTTAGCTTCTAACTCGTTCTGAATGTGAATCTTCTAATCTTCTCTTTTTTTTTTATTTTTCCCCTCTTTTTTTTCAAACCAGAATGTTTGGTAAATGAGGCTGTCAGTCTGTTTTAAAGATTATTCTTTTCATTTTTAAGCTTTTATAAGCCTCCAAGGCTGCGGGAGTGGGCGTGATGTATTTTGCAAGCATTTCTGTCTGCTGTTAATTTTGCAGGTGTACGTCCATAGCTGTGGACACAAAGCATGGTAGGGACTGCAAGGAAAGGTGGGACCTCACAGATCAGCCTCTGTAGTTGGAAAAGCATGGAAACTTTAGTGAAGGAAAAAAGTCGAAGGAGCGGATCTGGATCTGACTTTGTTCCCTCTTTGCAAAAACATGCAACAATGCAAGTTATAAGGACTTTTTATGGGTAGGAAGGAGAGGTAGAAGATACCATCAGTTTCCACCAGCGTGCTTTCCAGTCACTCACTGTGATAGTGAATCTTTTGTTGGGTTTTTTGTGTGTGCTCATGCTGACCTGAAAAGGGCCATACAGGATGTTTCCATTTCCAGCTCTTCAGCATAATGGATGAATAAACTCACCCTTCCTATGTTGGTTTGTTGCAGTAAGGTGAGCTTTCCTTCCTGGGATCTGCCTCTTTTGCTGTACTGGCCTCGCATACCCAACCTCTGAAAACTCTTCATGCACTATCAGAACGCGGATGGAAGAAAATGTTCCAACCATTTTGCTTTAGGGCTTCAGTGTCTTAAAATGTGCTGTTAAAAATAACACTTTTTTTTTTTTTTTTAATGTATTCAGCAATGCTTTCCTGGCTCCATGCCTCTCCCCCTATATTATGTGCCATTAATGCCTACCAAAACTCAGCAGCCCCGAGTCCTGCTGACTTGGGTTTTTTCATGCTGACTGGGATTGGCTGTGGAAGTCTGAAGACAGAGCATGGTTTCCTCTGTCAACACAACAGGTGCATCCCAGGTAGGAGTTTTCCCCTTTATTGCTGAAAGATCTCCTTTCATGTTGATTTTGAAGGATCTGCTGCTCTCACTGTCATTTTCCTCTCCCTCAAGAGCAGTTCATTCACTGAATTAAGTCTGAAGGAAGTACGGGTGGTGAATGATACTGCTGGGCAAGACAGAGGTATGTACAATGGCAGCTAGATTCCTTGTAGCTCTTCCAGAATCTTTGTATAGTAATCAGGGCATATTCCTCTGTTTTCAGAAGCAGTTTAATATTTTATCCTCATTCCTATATTATATGCCAATTAACGCGTTTACTGAATTGAATCAAGAAACCTCTGGTGGTTCACATGGATATGTTGAACACCAAATTTTGTCTGCTAGTGCATATATACTGTGGCAGCTAATTGAGAAGCTCTGCTGGCTGTGTTGGGACTGCCTTAAACCCACATCCCAAGCGCCCAGAACTTCCAAGGACAGCTGCGTATCAGAAGACAAATCCATTTTTGCTGTGGTGTATGTTTGAATAGCTTCTGAGCACGTTATTGGTTTGCAGTTCATTTTAGTTGTGTTCTGTTTTGCTTGGCGGTCAGAAATGTGCTTGGGCTAAGTGTGGTGCAGTCACTTTTTGTGCTGGTCATCTCATTCCTTGTCCTTAAGCGCGCGCTCTGCCCATGCCTGTTTTGGGAGATAGCACAGCTATCACCAGCTAACACCAGTGAAGGACACTGGTTTCTGTAGCCTTTAACATCTATCAGGTTTGTTTAGCAGCTGACTTGGGTCACGCTTTGAGATTTACAGGGCATCTGGTGGTGTTTTGTCTGTGAGTTTATCTCTCCCTCTCAGTAAGGCCATGCTCTTCTGGCTGGTGCTGATAGCAGCTGCTGGGATGCGGGTGTTTGGGTGCTGATCTGGGATGAGCACTTGGATCCTTTTGCCTTTAGTTGGATGAAAAGGCTGCAGATGGGTGTTTGCCCATATTTGATGACTCCAACAGTTCTTATGCAGTGGTGAGGCTTCCTATGGTCTGCTCAGGTACTAATTTTCAGTCTTGGGTCCTCCTAAGTTACAGGCTTGGAAACTATTTCATATTGCTGACATCAGTTTCACTGATTGTATGTACTGTATAGCAGTTGGGTAGAGGATATCCACATGGCAAACTGTGGGATAATTGCCTGCTGTGTTATTCTTGGTGTGTCCTGGAAGTGGTCTGGTCTTCTCGGGTAGGGCTCAGATAGCAGTAATGGACATGAAAAATCAGGGCTTGTTGTCACCTGTTGACCAGAGGTATGAATGATGCCCACTGCTGAGAGGTGATGGTCTTTAAAGTGAAGGACTTAGCAAATGACTTCAGTTTGGTTTGTTAAGAATCACTTTGGTGCTTTATGTGTTCTGGAAAAGGGGAAGAGGAGCGGCATAGGAGAGCACTGCTCTCCATAGAACAGTGAAGCTACCTACAAGGCTGCAGTTTTACCCTTTATAAAGAGGAAGATCAGGCAGTGTTGTAGGCACACTTGATATAATATACATAGTTGTGCTTTAGTTTTACACACTTGTATTAGCAGAGTTTTAATACGCAGGTGTCCCTTTACTGGAAGGGGGGAACACAGCTGCTGCCCCCTTCCCATCTGCTGCACTCTGCTGTTGCTTCAGATAATTTGGATTTGGGTTTTTGGAAGTCAGGAGCGACCTGGGATTTGAATGGATTTACATGGGTAGAAATGTTGGTTATCATATTCAGATTTTGCATCTTTATCCCATCTCTGCAGTACTGATTGCAGCTAGGGACAAGACACTGGGCTTATTAATGGGGTTGTGCTGTCATCTTTTGAGGCTGGTTTGGGATTGAATCAGTGCTGCTTCGCAATTAGAGGCCAGGTTTCTTCTGGAAGGGAAATACTGATATATATTTTACCTCCATCAGAACTGAACCAGCTATATGCTGATGTGATGTGTGCCTGTGCCTTCATTGCTACCAGTTGCACAACCCCCAAATTCACCGTGAGCATTTGCAGAGAGCTCCAGCTCCAACTTCACATCAGGGGATACCTGAAAATCCTCTGATGGAGGATCTGTTAAGGAAAATACGTCTGTAAAATCACATTCTGATAGTGCTGGGGGGGTTCTGTGTATACTGATGCAGGTGTGTGTTGTAGCAGGTGATGAGGCTGACCACACAACTCATGCTTATAGCACTGATTTCAGACAGAATATGCAACTTCTGCATTGGAGTGAATGTTTCCAGTTATTCTTCTGAACTTGCTCTAATATTCCTGATTGCGGTGCCAATTAAACGCTTGTGCTAATATCCAGTGCTCAGCTGTTGACTTCTGACCTAATTGAGGTACTGCTGCTAATTTGTTACAGCAGCATTAAAAACCATCCAGCTGTGGTGCTGTGTGGAGCTAAGCTATGTAGAAATGATGTGCATTTTGGTTTGTGCTCAGTCCTGACTGTGGTTGTACAGGGAGCCCAGACCAGGCTGGGAGTCATTCAGGGTAAACCCTTATTTACTCTTATGGACTGTTATTAGGTGAGCATAGTTTTTTGTGCTCCAAACCTGAAGCTTTTAAAGCATTTTCCAGTCATCAGTGGAACATAGCTGATCTTCTGCAAGCTCCATGTAGCTCAGGGTTAGGGCAGTAACGTTTTGTTCTTGGTGGGTTTTGGAGTTCACTCACTGATAGGTGAGGATGTAACTTCTAGGCATTCGAAAGCAAGATGGAATTTCTCGTGTCCTACTGGATTTTTATCAGTCCTGGTAATTCAAGAAGGCCATCTCATGCTCTCTGATGGAGAGCCTACAGCCTACAGGTAATTCTAGGAGCCCGTGGGCTGATCTGGAAGTGTTATTAGTTTGCTACTAGCACGGAGGTGTTGGAGCTCTTGTTATCAACTTAGAAGACAAAACCAAAAATGTATCTCAGTGATCCAAGAGTGTATGAACTCTCGTGTACCTCTGGGATCCTCCTGTTTCCTTGCAGCTGTGGAATTGTTTTGTCCCCTGTGCTTGTGGTAAATGAGGTAGTGCTTTGGGGTGGGCAGAAACTGGAAGGTCAAAGGGAGCTGAATCCCTCCTTGCTGTAAGGTTGAGGCTGGGGTTGCTGAGATTGGTTGAAGTTTGGGGAAGGGACAGGTTTGGCAGGAGGTGATACGGTTACTGAAGGTACAGGCATGTGCTGTGGGATGTCAGAGTTCTGCTGGACATTTACTTTCCTCCCTCAAAATGTCCTCAAATTCATTTAATTTATTTAAATTGGTTTATCTATCCCAGCCTCACTTGTTCCTTATTGCATCTTAATGAAATTTATGCTGCCTTCGAATGAATCTGAATGATGTTTTCCCATTCCCACGATGATTTTCCAAATTGCAATCTCTCCTACTTGAAATCTGCAGTCAATATAGCTAATACAATGCCTGTTTATGAAAAGAGGATATTTCTGCTGGTTCGTGTGGGTGTTTGCCCACTCAGATCATTGCTGCAGCCATTGGCTGCCTAACTGGTTCCTAGAAAATAGAGGGGAATTTCGTGCTGTGACTCATCTCCCAAGCAGCAGATGCTACCTGCTGCCAGTGCTTGGATGGCAGCTCCTGCACTCTCCATGCATATAACCCAGTGCTGGGGACTCAAAACTATCTTGGGGATCATCTTAATGATGACACAAATCCCTTACAGGAAGCAGATCCGGGTGCTGCCTTGGAGCTTCTGGGTGGTTGCTATGAGAGGAGCTGACAAGAGCAGTGTCCTTGCCTGCAGGCCGGCTGCTGGGTGCCTGCACAGGGCTGGAGGAAGGCTGCGGTGGTGGCTGTGCGTCAGTGGCACAGCAATGAGGGTGGGGCTGGGGATGTGATGGGCTGTGACCAGCTGGGATGTCTGTGGGGTGTGGGGGGGTGGCAGCTCCTGCTGCCTCGTTGCCACCGAACAGGGGAGCGATGGGAGTGGCTGTCCTGCCAGCTGGGCTTGGGAGATATGAGGCTGTGTCTCATGTGGGGTGAAAAGCAGTCTGCGGTACCTGCACTGTCCTAATAGAACCTGAGTGCTGCTTCAGAGGTGCCTGCTGCTATCAGCGTGGAGGTCTGGGATTCCCGTGTGGGCAGAAGTCTCACTGAAGGCTCCAGAAAACCCCCAGAATGTCACTGGGCTGCTGGAGCATCCAGACCTGCATTCAGTGGGTTGGCTTGCTGTGGGGAGAGCCCAAAGCCTGGGGATGCTTTAGTCTGAGCATGGGGCAGCTGGGCTCTGGGCTGCCCAGTGGGACCCCAAAGGCACGTGGCCATCCGTGCGCTTGCAAGAATAGGTGCCCTTGGCTGCCCAGCTGCTAATAGTGGCTGCTGTGTTGCGAGGAGCTCAGCTCTTTTGTTTAGAAACACCAGATGAGCAGCATGTGCCTTATCTTGGGCACAGTAAGCACCGTGTTTCTCCGCAGAAGTTTGTTTCTGAGCAAGATGTGGTTCCGTTTGCTCAGCAGTGTCTGTGTGCTGATGGCTTGGAGCTTCTGTGTTGGTTTGCACAAGCTGATTTCTGTGGTCGTTTCGGTGGGATTGCTTTAATTCCCAGGATGCTGAAGTTTGGCTGGGTTAGGGTTGTTCTGCTGCAGTGGGGCTGTTTGTGCACAAGTAGCTGCCATGCTCTGTTGTACTTGTAGATCCCAAAGTGATGATTCCTCAGGAATACAGTGATGAGGCAATCATAAAGCTGGGTGCTTATTTGACACAGAACAGCCCATCCTAACAATTCAGCACAGTTTCTGCACTGGGTTTCTGCCCTTCCAAATAGTAGGAACTGCGTGTAAAATCCAGGGGCTCTTTGCAGATCCCTGTGAGGCCTTTGCTTTACTTCCAGTTATACATATGTACTGGTAAGACCCACAAAGGATATTTTTCTTCCCAGGTTTTCTCACTTCTGTCCCTTTCTTGCAGCAGCAGTGCCCTGCTATGCTCCAGGGACTCCTCCAGGCTCTGGGGCTGATGTGGCCATATGATAAAATATTGAATCAGGAGCTGCTTTGTTCGTGGTGATATGCCCCCATCTATGGCAGAGCTGCTTTCATTCATGGAGATTCTCAGAAAGATGTGCTTACAATTCACTAGTACAAAATAATGGGTCTTCTGAGCTCGCTGCTATTGAGAACTCACACAATAAAAACGTTGTGTGCTGCGGCGATGATGTGACGAGAAACTGTGGAATCATCTCCTAGCATTTCAGGCAGCTTGTAGTTTCTTCCCAGGTAGATATATAAAACATTGCCTGAAGAAGGTTAATCTTCTGGCAAAGGTATGGAATTGAATTTCCGTAGTTTTGCTGCTAGCATTCCCTTAGGTTCATACCACTCTGGTACCAGATCCACGAAATGGGGCTGTTAATATGTACAGGAAGCACCAAGAGCTACAACAGCCGTTCAGAAGCCGATAATTCCTTCGTTTGTTCGTAGAGCAGGCAGCGTAGCTCTTAAAAGTTTGATCAGATGCCAGTTCCTTCAGTGGCCGCTCTGTTCTGAAACCTTTTTATAGCTGTGCTAACATCTCTGAAGTCTGTTGGACTTAATTAATGTTTAAGGCTCTTGAACAGAAGATGGCATAAAAAGGGAAAACCAAATAGTGTCTTCTCTCAGGGGTCAGCTGTGGGGAACCTTTTCCCAGGAAAATGAACATTTTTCTGTGTGTAAACCTGTTCTGCTGCCTAAAATGAATGCTCTGTGTGGTAGCATCGCAGTTTTTGACCAGTGCTCGTTGTAGGAAAAGGACTTTGGTGCATCTTAATAGGAGGCAGAACTGGAACAAAGTAGCATAAATGAATGACTTCTGATTGAAGTCCAACAACATGGCCTGCAGGGGAAGAAACTCTTGGCAAGGAAGATCCTAGTGATGAAAGCCTTACTGGAGCAGTTAAGCTTTAGATAAAAACCTCATGTATTATTTAATCTGCATTTAGGCTTTTTTTTCGCCTGGTTAAAAAGGTAACAAGTAGGGCACTGAGATCCTATCACTGAATGAGCTTCAGATGCTGTATTCAGCCAAAAAAACATCTTGGCTTC